TGATCACATTCGCTGGCTTGGCGTACATTTGGATCCTCGACTCAATTTCAAACACCACGTAACCACCTGGTGCGGCAAAGCGATGAAAGCTGCACAGCATATGCGCCGCTTCAACTCTACCTCTCGGGGAGCAGCCCCCGGGCCGTTAGTCGGCGCAGTAGACATGTGCATTGTCTCTCTAGCAACTTTTGGATCTGATGTCTGGTGGCCAGGATCCAAACGCCCAACCACACGAGGAATGGTCACGTCATCTACCTCAAACCTCTGCTGCATGATTGACAAAGCTAACCTGGTGGGATTGCGGGCTGCACTGCCAGTGATGAGGACAACGCCAAACGTAGCCGTTCACAGAGAAGGAGGAATCCCGCCGGCAAAGGTCATACTTGAGGGAAACCGACTCCGACTTTCGGCAAGGCTTAAGACCCTTGATGATAGACACCCGTTGAGGATCCGCGCTTCCGTGTGCCCGAATGTCGGCACTCGAAAGTACAAAAAGACCGCCAAACTCTCTGCCAGACCAGAGATCCAAATGTCACGGTTACAGCGTGCTTATCGAGAGCTCCCGGAAGCAGAGGCTCCCGAGGCCCTGGCGCCGGTAGTCTACCCTAAAAAGTTAGGCTCAAGGCTGACGGAACGCAATGACTGCGTTCGATGGATCAATAACGTGACAGGAACGGACATCTGCGCATACTCAGATGGTTCATCGGAAGGACACGGACGCTCTGCCTGGGGTTTCGTTCTGAAAAAGGATGGGAAAGACATAGGCAAAGGAAGTGGCATCAAGCACGGGGGAGAGGTGCTGGATGCAGAGATAATAGGAGCAAGGAAGGCTCTAGAAGCCGCACTAGAGTTCTTGGATAACGGAAAGTCTAGGAAAGTAGGAGGGTCGCAGCAAATCCACGTGTTTCTAGACAGCCAGCAGGCTGTAAGCGCACTAACGACGGGCTCATCCTCAACTAGCCTTGAAGATGTACGCAAATTCCGTGCGTCATCCAATAAGGCAAAAATATCAGTGAAATGGGTGCCAGGGCACGCAGGGATACAAGGGAACGAAGAGGCAGACACCATTGCCCGTGCCGCACTCCGAGAGTTACCTAGCCAGGAGACACCACCAGGATCATGTACTCTGGCATATCTTCGTGGTCACATGAATCACCGGCGGCAAAAATTGCTGGAAGACTGGTGGATAGAGGCTTGTCCGCCTAAATACCGCCAACTCAACCTACAGGTTCGGCGACGCAAACCACCCGAACTAGCTCTCTCTAGGCACCTGCTCCGAGAATTAATTGCAGCCCGAACGGGTCACGGCAATTTTGCGGCATACAATCGCCGTTTTAATAACCTACACGCTCCCATGGAGTGCTCTTGCGGGAAGGAAACTACTCCAACCCACTTCATCCACTGTAGCCGCCACGCACAACACACGCGTAGGCTCAGAAAGTCAATGTCCCACGCTGACTTTGTCAAAAAGCTTCTCGGGCCCAAGTGCCACGAAAGCTTCAAAATATTTGCGCAGGAAACCGGCTGTTTTGATAGACGACCTGCTCACTCATCCACTGCTCTCAGCGGGGATCAGATTAACTAGTCATTGCCACAACACATGACAAGAAAGGGAACGAGGCGAGAAGTGTCGTTTCTCTGAGGAAAGATTGTAGCTATTTGGATTTAGGGAAAAGGATTGATTTTTGATCTAGGAGTTGGAGTAGGTGGTGTCCGCGTCGTAATTTACTTCCTACTATTTCTGTAGCAAGTCCAGCGGTTGGAATGAGTTGGGCCTGTAAGCAGTGATCCCCGCCGGCTCCACCAGTCTTGTACCTGTAGTGGACCTAGAGCTTTAGCTTAGGACTTTAATATAATAAAAAAAAAATAAAAAAAAACCCCTTCATCAATTACTTCCATTAACCATCACCTGACTTATCTCTGTACTCCATAATTTCAACAAAAGCATGCTTTTATCATCCATATTTATCAGCACCGCGAGTAAAGTGGTTAGTTTTTGCGATTTCGAATCAGCCATGTATTGTCTGGAGTGGGATCAGTGACTAAGCCATCTAGACTTAACTTGGGAAAACGGCTTAAATGATTAACCACCTGTTGGAAATGGAGACACGGAGTGTTGTGGACGTACGGGCCCTCCATTTCGTCTAGGTTCCCGACACGATCTTGTGTGTATTTAAGATGTTAGAATAGGTAATATGGTAGCGCTTCAGGCTACCTATTGGATACATGAGCGGCTGTATGGCGTGGGCGCAAGGAGGTTATTGGGGTTCTCTATGCCTAGACTAAGCCACGCTCGTTTATGCTGTGGCTTAGGCTCTGTATCGCTTACACTTGTACTTTTTTTTTTAAAAAAAATCATTTAATGTGTATTCAGCTATCTAGGTATGACACATGAACAGTGCTATGTATGCATGTTGGATGACTCTTTTGTCGTTAGAGACACTCATACTCTGGATTTCATTTGCAAATGCCACTATGAGGTATGTTTGCTTACACAAACAGTCGACCCTCCTCCGTTAGTACCCACCAAAGGGAATTTCAAAACCTTTGGTTATCCAAGCATGCCTTCGTTATCCATGCATACCAGCGCCGCGAGAAATGTGGTTGTGTTTTGCCGGATTCGAACCAGCGATCTACTGTCTCAAGTGGGATATGTGTCCAAGCTATCCAGACTCTTCTTGGCAGACCGGCCAAGATGATGTACCACCGCACCATCCAACCATGGCGGTTTTTATAGTATTACCTGCACTCCACCTGCATCCTTGCACTTAAAAACTAATGAAGGTTAATCGAGTGTCAGAGAAATTCATCTAGCTGGAGTTATTTGGAGTCGGTGGTTGATGCATCGCATTGGCTAGTTCTCGTGATTTGTGGATTCTGACATTCGGATAAAGTATTATCCGAATATAGGCTGGATAGCAATTCCATATCATCGACTCAGAATAACACGATTGGACCTTGAATGCACATTTCTTCTGAACGATAGTTCGAAATACTTACACAAGTGCTCTCATAACTTTAAGTGAGCTAATAGACTTTTAGCATATGACCTTTGTTATACCAACATCGAGATATAGATGAAAAGACGGGAAATACGATAATGACTTCTAGAGGAATACCTTTAAGTATCCACAAAAACCTGAGTAGGGCCCAAAGTAGCCTTTTTTTTTGCATCAGATTTTAATTGCAAGTACTACTGCGAAGTTATGGCGGCTTTTTCTTCACCCCAAGTCAACCCTCATCCGTGAATACCCATCCAGGGGAACGTCTCAAAAGCCCTGAGTTATCCAGACATACCTCTATCATCCACCAACTTTTCTCCGCACGATATGTGATCTGAGGCATCTCCTTCCCGAGTGGAGTAGCTGCCTAGACTACTCGAACCATACCGGAGAACACTACCAGGAGGCAGACCACAACACCTTCCATCGCTGACTTGTGTCCATAGTGTTAGCTGCACTCTGGTAACCGAAGTCCTGGCACTCACACAAAGCTTAATTTGTAAAACTCCTTGTCAAAACTCGAGATTTCACGTCCTTAGGGGTTATATCCTTCCTTTGCATCATCTTGTCAACTTGTCCTGATTCCTCTCACGTCCATCCCAAAGAACTCTCTCCCAGATTTGTGCGCCACGCTTTGCTTCCTCCGTCGGGTACAGATATCGGCGTGGGCGTGTATTTGGTGACGACATGAGGCCAGAGAAAGTCGACGAGAGGTGTGATTATTGGAATGAGGATGTACTTGGTCGTACTTGTAGACTTGATGAGACTTATGTAGGAGTCGATCTCTTTGGAAGTGAAAAATTGGCACGGTGGAGTATTTTGAATCATTGCCTCGTGGGCCAATTTTTTCGATATTGTGAAATTTGACTGAACTTGGCCCGGGAAAATACTCCACTCCTAGGTTCGTAGAGGACACCGTGTACAGGTGTTCAGTCTTGCCTTCCGGACCTAAGACCGTGACCCATGATAAAGGCATGTGCAATGTATCTTGACTTACGGATTAACCTGTTTGCACAATATGATTAATGTTCTGTCTGCTCGGAGAGCAATGAAGTTCTATCAATGCCGAAAATCAAGACGATAAAAAAAAGTCTCCAGGAATCGCCATTTTTATTCCACCGAAACCTGACAAGGGCCCCAAGCAGTCTAGCGATGCAAATATAAAGTGAGCGCATGGGGCCCAATTCGTATTTTTATAAAAGGAAAGTACCCGGAGTCTACAGTCCGAGCTGTCCATGTGGCTACCAATCCCAGAACCCCAAGCACATGATTATGTCCTGCCCTTGACGGTCAAATGAGAGAGGAGAGATTTGGAGAAAAGCCAAAGATCGGTCCTACGAAGCTATGATAAACAATACTGGCGACATCAAAAGGATTGCACGGTGGATCCCAAATCATGGCTGTATAAAGCAATTCCAGACGACAAAGGCGGTCGAATCCATATGCATGGCAGGACATCAAGGAAATTAATTTAGGAAATAGAATTGGAAATTATTAAATAATTATTGCTTGATAACATTAAGAACAAGGTTTTAAGGGTTGAAATTATATATTATAAATGTGTCATAACTAGATAGCTGAATACACTATAAATTAAAAATAAAGGCGGTCGAAATGCCGCTGAGGTAAAGGCATAAATCAAGCAATTATTGGGGTCGATAGAGATGATTTGATTAATTTACATGAAGGGCACTATTTTGTAACTGCGGTACTTGAAGGATACATTAGGGAAAAATTAGACAATAAACAGGAAGGTTTGGGGGTTTTCGCCAGAAGGTTTCCTCCGATGTAAATTAGAAAGTATTAAAGATACCCACGTGGGCCCATAGAGCGCCAAATCGAATTAAAACCAAATCAGGTCTATCTGCTCCAGTCTCATTCCAACGCGCTCTTCTCACAAATTTAGAAATATACCTCATTAATTCTTATCCATTAAATGGTGATATAACATGGCTTATCAAATGATAATAATATACAGACCACTCCAAAGCTAAATATTCAGTAATCCCAATAAAATCCCATGTCGCCAGCTTTATCTCCTGTCCAAACCTTTTTGGCAGAGTTAAAGCTTGCCACCGCTTTTCGGGCATCAGCACCCATCCCGGGAGGACCACTCCCAACAACAAACAAACTTTTACCATCTGTCTTCTCCATGTAATCTTGAATCTCTTTTTTCAAATTTGGTCGCCGGTTCAGATAAACAAGATCAACTTCTTCTGGGAGGGACCACAGACCATGCTTCTTCTCACTAACAGTAATTTCTGATACATTTTTCTCGTCCTTGAGCTCAACATCTAGATCTTTAGCATCTGGTTCCTTCCCACTTGTAATGATAATTCGAAGGTGAAAATTCGGAATGCCCTTCAATGCCTCAATTTCTGATGCGACCCACTCGAGATTTTTGAAATATCGGACTATCCATACGAGCTGGATGAGCCCGCAATTGGGACGCAATGTAGCTTCTAACAGTACAGGGAGGGTGAAAGAGATTCCTGTGCCTCCGGTGATAGCAAGGATGTTGGAAACTTTCTGAGGTATAATATCGGTACCGTAAGGACCAGTGAGAAGAACTGGTGTTGTTTGGCCCGTATTTGTAAGTTGGCTCGCAAGAACACCAAGCTTGGCCGTTTCACCCAAACGGCAGCGAATAATGTAGGAGTGCTTTTGAACAGGGGATTCTGGACGAGGAGAAGATAGAACAGTAAATGGGTGGGCCTGCCAGATGGATAAATTAGGAAAAGTGAGAAAATAATGCTGCCCAGGACTCCAGGCTTTATGGGCGTGTTCAAAGTCAAGTCGTACGATTCCTCCAGCGGAATCGTCAAAATACTGCAGGCGTGCCTGAGCAGCAACGAAGCCCTTATTTTCGCCTATAATTCTAAAATGAATCAAGGCAAAATGGATCCATCGAAGCACCAAGTCCAACAGCAAAATTACCAGTGAAGCGATCATCCAACATTTAAGTTTGTCCCAGTGAGACCAACATGCACCTATGTAAACTCCGGCAACAACTAAGTGCGAGATAAGAAAAAATTCATAGCCTGTCCACTTGATCACCGACTTCATACTAAATACAGTAAGGAATGTGAGAAGTGTCATGGCGACAATACCCCAGAGGATGTAGGGTTGAATGATAAAGGCATGGTATAGGCGAGGCTGTGGCTGATATAGATAAGCCTGAACGACAGTCCATATAAAAATGTGCATAAAAGACTGCACATACATTATACGGCCTGTCCAGCGATGTAAGAAATTAAAATGTTGGTATGATATACCTGTGATGAGCGTGAGGATACTTTCGCGTGTAGAAAGAGCGATTGTGAGAGGTGTAAGTGCATATGCTAATGCACCAACTCGATCTGCGAATCCACCAGCGCCTGTACGAGTGTTGAATAATCCTGGTTCAGTTTTGTGTGGTGTTACCCAGTTCTTGTATGTAATTCCAATTAGTGAAAAAAATATAAGATAGCCAGAGAGTATCGCGAAAATTAATAGCTGAAGGCGAGAAACATGACCGAAGATAAAATTCATACTTTCGGGAAGAAGATAATGGCGTAGGTAGGCAGTTGTAGTATAGACCAGTCTACGGTGTAGGCTGCTTGGGGATACTCTCTGTTGTCCATCTACTTCAAAGATAACTGAATCTGTTTCCTTACTAAACCGACGCACTACGCGTAGGCCCACCCAAACTGACAGGATTCCCAGGATAACTGCCCAAAAAATGAAAGTGAAGAGCATAGATAAGTCATGCATATGGTAAATAGCGTCGAGATATTGACAGGTACCCGTATCAGCGGTACATGGCAATACACGAGACTCAAAGCCCCAATGTTTTTCCAGTGAACTTGTCTCGCTATAATCCTGGATGTGATGCATGGTTGGGCGTACAGTAGTGAGAAACCAAGTGTAGTGACAGTCTTTATTCTTTACCGGACTTGGTGTGTCTTTTATTTAAATTTTACAGTAGATAAAATGTTCTGCATGTATCGGCCGGTCAAGAAGAAGCTTAGGAAAAAATAATTTAATCAATTTATGAGAGCGAACTTTTGAGTTTTATTGGTCATTTTGCCATCCTCCTCTTCTTACTCTCCCTAGCAGGACCCATCTAGCGAATGATGAAGTGCTGAAGAGACGAAACGAGAGTGGGTGAGTGGGATTAAACTTGCTCAAATGAACGCTTGTTACTGCGGGTGATTTGAGCTCATTTGTTCGGCTATAGATTGCTTACAATTTTGGGATGGCAATGGCGAGATATATGAAAGAGAGTGACTTTGAGAGAGATTTCCCCAGTCCATCATTAGATAAGTTTGTAACCTATGGCTTTGAAATACAATTATTGGCCACACATCGTAGTGAGAAATCCGAGCGGTGAGTTGCAGCGCAACGGGGTATGATTGTCTGACACTTGCACTCCACACACACACATATAATCCACATAGTAGATGTGCATGGGACCCCGGCCCCCACTCCGCGGGATGTTGGAAAGAAGCTCAACACTACCATATGCCGATAGAAATGACAGACATTTCCATACATAGGCAATAATTAAAAGAATAACAGAGGTTGAGTAGGTTAATTGACGTGAAAACAATACAAGCTGATCGTATTTTACAGATTCTGTTTCGAAAAGTGTCTCATAGGCTCACACGCTTGTTAAGGAAAAAGCATCAAATGATTCGCACTTGCTGATGGTAAGATTATTTAAGACATGTAGGTAGATGTGTCAAAAAGAGTGTTTTATCTTGTGGTAATAAATGTTGAAATTCATTTAGGATGAGTTTGAAAGTTATATGCAAATTATTCACATCTGGCCAAACCTACTGGCAGCATATTGCCCGGCTACCGATTCATAATTATTATCCCACACAAGCCCTCAACTATTAATTATTTAGAAGGTTAATCGGGCGTAAGCGAAGGCTGTTGCCCCTTCCACTTGTATTTCAAGGGGGGCTACCACATTTAGCTTAGCTTGGCCATGTGAGTTCACGATAGTTCCTTCAATTTCGACTTCATGCGCAGTGCAAGTAGATACAGGGAATAGGTGACATACTGGGTAGGCTTGAAGGATTTCCTTAGTAGATTTGAACAATCCTATAGTTCACACACGCAACTATTCGGTAAGACTCTGTTAACTATATAAATCTTCGCAAAAACGTGATACCATTCAAATAGAAAACTATGTCCGTCCTCGAAAGAGAGATCTCACTTGCCCCACGCCCAATAAAGAAGTGCGATGGCGCAAAAATAAGGTCTCGTTCACATGCTAGAAACACCATTGCAGTACCACCGTCAGCTATGCACGAATACCGCCAGCCTTACCATGACCAGCCAGCTTCAATAGAGCACAGGAATACATTCTTACCTTCTGTCTATGGAGTTCCCCGAGCCTCACTCTACGGATCTCAAGGCAATTCGCAAACCACAATTTCTACTGACATGGACCAATCCCTATCACTCACTCAGCGAAAATCAAACATAGGATCACAAAATAGCCTACAGAACGCCTTCTATTTTGCATGTGTTTTGCTGCCGTTAAGCTGTTGGTACACACATGTAAGCAAACAGGCTGTTTCGGAAAAAGATACAACTGAGACGAAAATCGTTTAAAATCTCTGATTCAAAGTTATTTGACATGAAGAGTGGAATGTTGACGGGAGATTTCAAAAGGACCGGAATAACAGTCACCCAAAATTTCACACCACTGCTGAGTATCTTATTTGGTTCCATAAAATATCACTTTATCCAAGGGATTTACGATATAATTACAATGCGCCCTTTTCTATTCCTGTAACAATTATTCCGAAAACATGCATAACCTATTCAAGGGTTAAACTTAAGAGAATTAAGGATCTTTTCGAGCCATGCAAATTCAACTTCTGGTTTATTTCAGTATAGCCTCCTAGGCTTAAATGTCAAAACTGTCCCAGAAATTCCATTGTTTATAATTCCACTGTCATATAAAAGTTTTTTGCTATCACTTACATGGGGAATAAATTTTTTTGTCGCAGCTTTAATTATGCTTTAAATGCTACTAGAAGTTATGGTCAAATAAAGCTTCATAGATGTTAAAATGATTTGATGGTATCCCCCGGCAATTAACGTCATATAAACTTCGGATTACTTCTATGACGACAGAAAGGTAATTTGAATGATCCATGTAGATGTAATAGTTTTTTTCCAGGGGTATTATTAGGGTGCAACAGGAGCCATTTATAACTTGCTATCCTCTGATTAGTGTTATTTATTTATTATGTCTACCGGGCACTAGTTACATCTAAAGCCCCATCCCTGAGGGGACATGGTGACTGCTAAGTAATATAAAACGTGATGTGCAGTGGCAGAGGCCATGAAAATACATTTAGAGACTGCGAGCGCTATGCAGCGGATACCTCACAAGAACAGCTCATATTTTACGGAGTGGGTAGATTTCTGATAGGAATCTAACCTTCTCCAATATGGTGGTGAAACGCTTAGGTCCTGGGGAGGTGCTTAAAAGAAAATAGAGTGAGCTCATACTTCGTCGATGGCCGGCCGAAGCTAGTCTCTCTCGCACAATGGGGCAAAAAACTGAATGAGTGATTGACTTGTTAGCCCCGCAGGAACAAGTCAGAAGGGCATCAAGATGATGAAACCTTTCGTGATAGGCACGAAAGTCACCGTTTCCAGTGCGGCATTAGATTAGATACCCGAGATATCGACGAGAGAGTCGAAGTTCCTCAGGAGGCTTCTTGGGAAATGGCATCTAGGAGCCTCCTGAGGAACTTCGATTCCACCTGATTAGTGTCTATCAAGGTAAGAGAAGATTTCGTACAATTGTCACGTGACTGTCATGGGTGTAAGAAAAAACACGAGAATAGAATACAGTCAAACCCCTGTTAATATGATGTAATCGGGCCGTGGAAAATATTGTCATACAGAGTATATCGTTGCTCTACAGAAATTCCCTTTTTTGGCGGCATTGATAGCACCAAGCTAGCAAAAAAAACCCTGGTTAAGACGATATTCAGAGGTTGAAGAACGATAATCGTGTAATCGGTAAATGTGTGGGAAAGGAGTCCGTTCTGAAAAAAAATATCGTCTTAACGAGGATCGTCTTAACAGGGGCTTGACTGTATATATTAAATTAGCTACGAGACCTTTGTAGGAAGAAAGAAGCTGAACAATTAACCGTGGTGTCTACAACAAACCTGGATACGAGAAATTTATCCAAGGCTATATTCAATCAAATTTTGCAAGCCGAAGAAGTTGGCCCATGAGGTAATGGTTCAATACTCGATGCCAAATCAAAATTTAACTGCAAGCAAGATGCATCCCGACTTAAGCCTCCTCAATTCTACAAGACTTTTTACATTATCACTTCAGTATCCAAACCCCTCGATAACTTTGACTGAGGCCTTATATGGCCTCAATATACATGCTCACCATAATATAGACATCAGCAGTGGAGTAAAAATCGTGGGGCATAGATCTGGGAGATAGCTCGTCGGGATGGAGGTGAAAGAAATAAGAAAAAATGGCTGCATTATGCTAATGAATAAGATAGCCTCAAAAAGGGCAGTATTTGAATCTGGAAAGAGCGTTTCTACATTGAGCGTTGTGCGCTTCGCAAGTTCGACTTCTAGTTGGATGGCATAGTGATGCACCATCCAGATAGATTTGCCAAGTAGATTCTGGATAATCTGGTTATTTATTCCACTCGTAAATTTTTTGACCGGTCCTACACTGGTGCAAACATGAGTCTGCCTGCATTATTTAGCGGTATAGGTGACACATTTCTAGCGTCAAGCGTCCACGAATAATGGTTCCCTTACTCTGAGACACTCACGCTCTTTTTTAACGGGACACATGTTAATAAAATGTATTCATTTTCGCATTATTTTCTGCTCTTATCTGTGGGTATCTAGCAAGGAAGGACTTCTACACGCTCAAATTTCAAGCGCACTCTTAACACTGTGCTCAAAGGTGCCGCGGATAATATGTTCGGGCTTTACGTAATGGAAAGTAACAATCTCTCATCTCGGGTGGAATGAGGGCCCAAACTATCCAGACACAGCTTGAGAAACCAGCCTATACGGTGTACCACTGCAATATGAAGTCAATAGCTTGTATGGTTTTGTTTGTCGACTACATGTGAACAAACATAATCGTGGTGCACACTGCTCTTTCCAGTGTTGAAATTTCCTACCCAACATTAATCTCTTGCTCCTGCTTTACTGTATCTACTTTCCACAAAACGTAGCTGTTCTGTTTTTAAGTCCTTCTCGGCCGTTTGAGATATTAGATTCTCGTCCTTCAGCTAAAGTCTTTCCGCAGTTGTCTATAACGTTGCTCACGCAAATCTTGAACCCATCTCAAGCCAAACTCAGTCGACGAGAGATGTGAGCTTTGAGATGAGAACAACCTTATTTTTTCTCACATAGACTTTGTGAGTCTTTTACAAGAACATAGCCTCCTTGGGAGTCAGAAATGGCTATATTTGAAAATCTTCAATCATTACCTTGAGAGCCAATCCTTCTGCGTTTCCAAATATGGCTGAAAGTTAGCTCTGGTAAAATACTTCACTATCATGTTCGTTAGAAAACTCTCTGAAAGATGCTAAGTCATTGTACTTCGTAGAAACTGCCTAACTTCAACTTGCGTTTGCTTCCTTAACTGTTGAATTATGAGAGTGGCCGGCAAAGACGAATTCTTCACCTCCCAGTGGTGCCGATGTAATCGCTCAGTATGCTCTGCATATCTGGGATAGCCAAGAAGAATCGCATCCGAACCGAAGTCGAAAGCAAACACATGTATATCTCCATTTGACGACTTCTCAATCATGTAGCACTCACTATTATCTTCTGAGTCCTCAACCTCTTTCTAACTACACATCATCTCGCCAAGACGACCAATAAAGAAGCTGCTCCAATTGCATACAGGAGCTTGCCTCATTTATTACCGGCCATTACTCACTACAAATTTACAACGCTACGTATACCCGCAAGGAGGAAATTAAGTCATAATATAAAAAGCTGGGGTCTTGGTTTATGGGGGACTGATGCTCTAATGGGTTTGTACATCTTGAGGAAGGACAGGCGGCTGAGATGTGGAACAAGAGAGGGAACAGGTCTTTGAAGACCATGCTTGAACTGACATTTTCGAGGAGTTTTCAACTTGGGATTTTTTGTGGGCGCCAAGACTAAGATTTTGGCTAATTAGCCAGGAGGGCTTCTTTTGTCCATGAGTCAACGGCACTCCCCAGCGCCCTGGACGGCACAAAAGAAGTTGGGCTAAGCTACCATACAGTAATCACGCTCTGTCAAGACTTTTCTGACATTTCAGCACGACCTTCGGGATGGAGTTGGAAGGAGGCTAGAAAGGCAGAGAGTGAATTTTCCGAGGTACCCACAAGTCTGCAGCGCCCAGCTGGCCGGCCTCTTCGAACGCTTCAGAAGGGGCAATATGTCTTCGGATTTATTCCTAATGTCGGTATTAGAAGAGCTTCGCACCCAGTGGTTTTTTGCGATTTTTCCCGGCTGCCATACACCCGCAAATGGCCATCGTTTCGTTGTCTGGAGAGGGGAGATAATGAAGGGCCAAGGGCTCCTCTTAGTGTATGATCGAATGAGGACTTGTGAGGGGTGGTAATGTTTGAGGGGAGTTGTATGGGAGGCATAGGAGGGGATTTACTACTGGTATAGGTATCCTTGGCCTGTAGGCAGAGAGGACCTGCATGTCCTACATAGTCATAGACTCAGACAGGAGAATAAAATGAATTAAAAAAAAAATAATTATGAGAGTGATGATCACATGGAATCAACCCTGCACCTTAATCACAATGGAGTTAGTTTTTTTCTATTAATAGACTAGGTAATTGGTATCTTTCGCATTCCTTTGGAATCTTGAGCACGACCGGATCGGGGCAATTACAATCAAGGTACATAAAACTCGTTCCACTTGAATTACCGGACCACTTTAGACTTCACCCATGTGTTGAACATATCAAGTGTAGCAATCCAGAGAACCCGGCTTTGACGCGCCGAAGCGCAATTTCCTCCTCATTCTTGGCCACCACGCGCCTGAGCCCATAACGCCGCTCCAATTTATAAATTCCTTCTTTTATTTGAGTTTCATTCATGCCTCGTCCCAGCATCTCCTTATCTTATCCTGCCGTCTTTTTCTTCATGGGAGACCTCATCCAGTTGCCCACATAGGTCCCCTCAGTTTTAGCTTCTCCTTAATATTTCAGCCAATACCGCAATGGCAGGAACTTCCAAGACTTTCTATTTCTCCGACCTCGCACTGTCGTTGTCGTACCTCTAACAGTGGAGGTCGAACATGGATCGAATAGCTCAAGACCCAGGTACCGACGGCTCGAATTTTGTTGCATTCTATAGTTGATGTGTCGGCGAAATGTCGTGCGGATTTCGAGGATGGCGCTTCGTCGTAGATCGTGTTGTTGATGCCCCTGGCCGAGGTTGGTCGAATCTGATGCCGATACTTTGACCGTATCTTTACACCGCGCGACGGTTACGACGGGACAAATTTCCACCTGTAGCTTAGCCTGCGAGTATGAATTTTGGATCTTAAAGTGCTACAGAAGGTGATGGGATGATTGTGAGAAGGGCCCCAAGATGAGTTCGGATGGAAAAGGTCTTCCTGGCAAATTTGAAAAAGTGAAGGTTTTCGGTTATTTCAATAGGAATATCAGATAGTTTTTATCCTATCTACGATTCGCATTTGGGGTGTAGATGTTGGTTTCGTTAGGTTGAGCTGTCTAGAAGTCTGTGCAAGTAGGATTTTCGACCAAAGAGCTCACCAACGCCACTCTTCACGACCGTCATTTTGACAAAAGCTCTCTCATACACCCCTTTTTTAAGACTGAATCTCTGTCCTGGGTGAATACTTCACTGTCAGATTCGTAGTGGACACCGCTGACAAGTGTTCAGTTTTTTTTTTCCGCCATAGCTTCATTGCTGCATACAAAACAAATGATAAATTGGTCTACAGGCAGCAACTTTGGCATAGCTGAGGTCTGTTGACAAGTACAAAAAGCACATATGCTTTGTTGAATCCCTGTCTACAAGACTCCATAAGCAGACTTGTCCGCAGATCAAAGTACATCAAAGTCACTAAGCTTTTAATTTAAATCATTCCCTTTATCGGGCCCCGCTTGTAAACTTTCTAGATTACACGAGGCTGAGGAGATTATGGACTAGATAAGATTTGAAAAATTACCCGCTGCCTCACTCACACTCCTTACCAAGTTTGTACGTCATCTTTTGGCGTACTCATCATGTTGACCCCGTGTCCAGCATTGCGGCGGCAAGTTCTTACGATCTACAAAGGTATGTTTTAAACCCTGGACAACCATTCTCAATTCAAAACTCCTTTGCCTGCCGGCCCTCATCACCTAGCACTAGCGAGCTTATCTCAACAAGATCCTCATCTTACAATACCAGAACTTCTTCATTTAGGAAAGGATTATCCCACTGGATATACCCACTTTCGTCAAAACTTGCATAAAGCTTTCATAAAAAATATCTCAATCGTTGATGAAGATGAAATTAAAGCCAATATAAAACGCGCCGAATTCGTTAAAAGAGGTAAGTGATAGCTTTTCAGCTGTATAGAAGTTTGACCAGAAAATCTCCGCTGAGTGAATTATTAACGGTGAGCAGAGATTGAAGCTTTGTAAGTCTTATTGCAATAAATACGACAATGGACCTGAATTTGTCGATCCCAATCAATATAAATAGATCCCAACCCACCTTCCCAATTAGCAAGCACAGGTCTAACCAGTGAAATTAACTAAAGATACTATCTGAAAAAATATCGGACACTTAAGACAAGGTATAACATGACTTGACTTGAATGTTATGACACTTTTATCCGCTCAGAGCGTCGCGAGCTTATACAAGAATTCTATACTTAATATAGAAAAGCAACAAACCTCGGGCCGAAAAAATGAAGAGAAAAAGAGACGAAATTTCCTATCGAAAATCTTAATCAAGTGTGAGACCCTGCAAGGGCTGGGAATTTTATTAGTATTAGAATATGATTCCTTTAGACGGGTGATACAGTAGTACTGGAAGTAGTACTGATAAATAGTAGAGTTAACAGAAAGTGTATATCTCACGATAAGTGCAGCATCAATTCATGCTGCGACCACCCTCCTACAAATACGTGTCTACCAACCTAGTATACACACTAATATGGGACTAATAATATAGGCTGTATAAAATCTCCAAACGGAGGGCAAGATTGAACACCTGTACGCGGTGTCCTCTACCAACCTGAGAGTGAAATATTCTCCCAGAGCCAAGTTCAGTGAAATTTCGCAATATACAAGAAGTCGGCCCACGAGGCGATGATTCAAAATACTCCACGTCATTTTTTCGCTCCAAACGAGTTTGACTCCTACCTGAGTCTCATCAAGCCTACAAGTACGGCCTAGTACATTCTCATTCCAATGATCACAACTCTCGTCGACCTTCTCTGGTCTCAGTTGACCACCAAATACACGCCCACGCCGATCTTTACACCCGACGTAGGAAACAAAGCGCGGCGCACAAATCTGGGAGACAGTTCTTTGGGATGGACGTGAGAGGAATCAGGACAAGTTCATAAGATGATGCGAAGGATGGATACTGTCTCGACGGGCGTGGAATTTAGAATTTTGGCAAGGATTTTTACAAGTTGAGCTTTGTGCGTGCCAAGACTTCGGTTGCGAGAGTGCATGCGACACTATAAACACCGCCATGTTTGGATGGTGCGGTGGCACATCATCTTGGCCGGTCTGCCAAATAGAGTTTGCATTGCTTGGACACATATCCTATTCAAGACAGGAGATCGCTGGTTCATATCCGGCAAAACACAACCACATTTCTCGCGGTACTGGTATACATGGATGACGAAGGCATGCTTGGATAACCAAAGGTTTTGAAATTCCCTTTGGTGGGTACTAACGGAGGAGGGTCGACTGTTTGTGTAAGCAAACATACCTCATAGTGGCATTTGCAAATGAAATCCAGAGTATGAGTGTCTCTAACGTCAAAAGAGTCATCCCACATGTTTACATAGCGCCGGTCATGTGTCATAGCTTCATAGCTGAATACACATTAAATGATTTAAAAAAAAAAATCTCCAAACGCCTTTCCTTTCCACTCCTAAGTTAACATTCAACAAAACCCTAACTCCATTATTTCGATGATACAAGGATGATTATGTTTGACCGAGGCTCTTGCAATTTAATAATCAGATCTCTTTAGAGACATCAAGGTCGTATGGGGGCATAGACCTGGAGTCGATAAGCTATTTACAAGGTATTTATGTGTATAAATATATATTATTACTCACTGTCCTACGCTGTTCCTGTTCACAGGTAAAAGAGGGCAGAAGGCCGCATCGCATCTTGAAAAAGGTTCCAAACGTTAAATCTCAGCGATATACTTCATTAATCAGTCCCTGATAAACGCTTGAGATATATTTCGTTATCGGTGCTTCCTAAATTTCTGCTCGTGTCATTAACTCCTCGTGATAAATTTTAGTATTGGCACAATTTATCCAACTTCTCAAAGTATCGAGATCCCTTATATCAGGAGATCAATGGACAGCCACCTGTTTTACTGTTATCGGTGATATTGCGGTCCAATTTCTCCTATGCTTTTTCTTCTTTCTATCCGGTATCTGCTCCCTCCTGAGCAGAACCAAAAGATTCTCTATATCTCTTACATTGATGATATCTCTATATCTACTGCTTCTTCATCAGTTGAAAAGAATATCCATGCCTTGGAAACTTCAATTGAAACTCTGGCTACAAGATCACAGGAACTCTCTGTTTCCTTTGAGGTCGAAAAAACCGAGCTAATTCACTTCCATCGGAAGAGAGTGGCAATTCAAACTGCAATAATAATTCAAGGAATCCAATTTTACCCTTAAAGCTTTGTCAGATGGTTAGGAATATGGTTTGATTATAAGCTATCATTCAAAACCCATATTGACAAGAGAATGCAGCTCGCAAATGGAGCTCTTCTTAGGCTCAAGAACCTTGCTTCTTCAACAAAAGGAATCAAATTCAATCAACTTCGACAGCTTTATATTGCCTGTATAACATCAGTGCTGGATTATGGCTCCATTCTATGGCATGGGAAGAGCCGATTTCTTCATCTTATCGAAAAATGTCAGAAACTACAGAACCGAGCAGTAGTCCTTGTCATAGGAGCTTACTCTAGCAGCCCCTCGAAAGCTTTGGAGGTAGAGGCCGCCCTTCCACCTGTGAAGGTGCGACATCTAAGACTAGCCTACAACTATGCTCTCAGGATACTAAAGATGCAGCCCTTGCATCCAATACAAATGCAGCTACTTAGCTCAGTTCAAGATGAGCTGTCCATGGGTACTACCATCAACCTTAACATAATTGATGACCTACAAGAAAACAACACCCAACTCATGAAGATTGGACACCTGCTCAAAGGACTCTCAGATCGCAATAGATTGGAAATAATCATGCAGAATTGGCACCACCATGGCTAGCAAATAATGTGGATACTAAAATAAGTAATTCTTCTAAGCATGCAGCAATGGATGAGCATATTCTTCTATTAAAAGACATCCCAAATCATGCATCAATTGTATACACAGATGGCTCTCTAACAAAAAGCAATGGAAGTAGCCTCGGATTTGTGGTATACCTGCCATACAGAAGACAGGTAAAATGTTTATCTTACAATCTTGGACACATTATGACAATCTCAGATACTGAGACTTATTGTATCTTGAAAGCTCTAAACTTCGTTATATCCAATAAAAATTGTTAAAGATTTAATCTGTCCTTAACTCTGAGCTTGATGATGGCAAGCAAGACGAAGAATATTATGACCTATCTTTTAAGATAAAAGGGCGAAAAGGGCATTAATTAGAAGATAGGACCGATATAGTAAGGGGTGATTAGCCCAGAGTAGGTATGGGCATTGTGAATGTAGTCGGAAGCATCTTCATGTTAAAGAAGAGTCAAGTGCGCGATATATATATATACACGTGTCCTATCCCTATCACTAATTACCAGACCCCGCTCTGCCATAAACACCATCAATCTCTGCTATCCATCGCAATCCCGAGTATCAATATGAGTTACTATTATACGGTATGTTTCCATGGGTCGACATCAATATAGAAATGTTAACAAACATTCCAGAGAGATCTGGGTCTTTTCTGATAGTCAAGCAGCTATTCATAGGGTCAGCAAAGCTGAAAACTTTATCTCACACCAAATAAGAATAAAAAGCCATAAATATCAAATTCATCTACATTGGTGTCCAGGCCATGAAGTTATTGCTGGGAGTGAGCTAGCAGACAATCTGGCAAGAGGTGGAGCCAAGAAAAATATCAATAAAAGAGATAAATTCACAACTATTGCTTACCTTAAGCAGAAGGCAAAGAAAATGACTCTCAAAGCCTGGAAAAATGACTGGGAGATCCAAGTCTTGAGACAGGAAGAAGGTAGAAGGGCTAAAGGACTGGGAAGGCTCTATCAAGTGCAAGCCAGGAAAAGATCACCTATCATAAAATTGAGACCTTACAACTTCAGTCATGACAGTAGAATGACACAGTCATCATTTATACAAGCAAGAACAGGGATTTGAAATACCAGGGCCCATTTATTTAGAATTAAAAAAGTAAGGGATAACTCTTGCAACTTTTGTTGGAAGGGAAAGCAGACTGTTCAACACCTACTTCTCTATTGTAGTAAATTTAAGACTGAAAGAAAGAAAGCTTTTAAAGGCATATTGCCATTGAGATTAAAAATATTGTTTAACACAAAAATTGGAAAAGAAGCAACTCTCGACTCCCTTCAAGAGACAGGATGCATGGGTGCATCCAAAGCTGACTGAATGGGAGGAGACTAGAAGATAAGTAGAGGAAATGGGGGTTAAATATTTGTATTTAGATATAAAATAATCAGATGTATCATAGCTAGATAGCTGAATACACTATGAATTAAAAAAAAAGATATTGCGTTTTTCATCGGTAGGAGCACCCTACACGGCCGCCCCACACGTCTTGGTCCATCTAGCTTTTTCTAGATAGTGGAGGTGAAACCGTCGTCAGGTGTAGCACTGATTTCTTCCGTTACTGCTACTAAAAATATTTGCTCCATATCTTGTGATGTTAACAAACCAAAATTTAGTGCTTCATTCATTATCTGCCATCTCGCAAGATAAATATACGATTCTGTTTAAACCCTCACGAGGGAAACCAGGTCATCGTACGCTAAATTCGGGATTAAATTGTGAGGCTCTGTAAATTGAGGGAGGTCTAGCAGCAGAGGCTATAAATTGTTGATTGAAGAGTTTACCAACGGGCATATTTGGACTTCAATTTTATGATGAGTCTTTGTCTTCGAAGTATTCTTGGGCGTCAAGGCTGCGATTTTGGATAATGCTATCGACACTTTATTTACGGGATGGATCACGTTTGCTTTGGCGGATGCAGGTGCAAAAAATGACTGATCATTACAGCAGAAATCGACTCAAGTCACGTTGTTGACTCGGAAATTGGAGGGCAAGACTGAACACCTGTACGCGGTGTCCTCTAAGAATCTGGTAGCGAAAT